CCCACCCCAGGGGAGGACATCCATCACACAGTAATCTCGTGCGTGGGAAATTAACGTCTCCTGCCCCTAACCCTGCAGGAGACGGGACCTCCATTTATTCGTCCCTATCCGAGAAGACTAGAATATCTAACCATTTCTTGATGTTAAAGAAAGGAAGCATATTCTTCTCAGTTAATTTTAAGACCCTGAGTGTTGGTCCGGCCGGTATTGAACTCTCGACCTCCCGCACAGCAGTCCGGCGCTCTCCCAATTGAGCTAAACTGGTCTTGTAACTTTACTCGGTTTTTTCGTGAGCCAGGGAAAGGTTGCACACGATTTAGGGATGTTCCTGAGAAACTACATGCCTCGAGCTTCTGAACCATTTTTAGTCAAACGCTTTACTCATATTGGTGGATAATGCAGTTACACAGGTAAGATGAAAATAACGAAAAACTAAAATTGTCGAAAAAATCACTCGCTGGTGTTTCACTAGCGCCACTTGTTCCGTGAAATACAAAATGAGAAAAGCATTTATCACTTTGAAAATGTTATAATAATACAATTACTGCGTTCTTTTAGACGAATGAAAGAATTAATGAGAAATCGCCAACACATTTTTTAAAGAAAAAAAAAACCGGACACAAAAATGTATAAAAAGCTGAGTTCAAGAAGTGAAACTCGCCACAACTTTACTTCTATTTCTGTAACTTCTCCCCTTTGTTTTTCCTGGTATCTTAGTCTTCTCTGATGCCGTTTAAACATTTCTTCCACTCTCCGTCCTCGCTCATCTCGATGAATTGCTGGATCACTTCCGCTATAATTGAAGAAAACTGAAACAATTTAATTTCGTGTCTGGTTACAGTTGTGTCAATCGGCCCGTTTGGGAATGTTTGGAATTGTCACATACGAAAGGAACCTTTATTCTAAGAGATGAAAGGGTATATTAAAACGAAAACAACCGTTTAACACGTCCTTCCTTATATAACAATATTGTAAAGGTATTATGTTTTATAAAATGTAGTGTATACCAGCCGTAATCCAGGACATTTATGCCACAATGAAATAGGAAAGAAGGCTCTCTCACTCAGTCAATAGCCACGATTTTATTGACTTACTTACTCTCAAGTGCCTCTGAAACTTCTGGTCCAGTAGGACCGTCTCGGACCTGGTGTCAGTGAGGTTTGACACCTTCATGGTCTCCAAACTGCAAACGCTTTCCTTAACCTTCACCGTAAACTGGGCTGCCGACACTGATTTTAAATAGCAGGCGAGATACTCTTTTGTCTAAAGGCGTATGGCATCTTGGCGTCCTATTAACACATATGCACCACTACAAGAAAGCTCATTAAAAGTAGCATAAAGTCGTATTGTTGGGTTGTGTCAGAATAATTGTCTTAACACTTTAAGACAATCACTTAATAATTAAAACACCGAACATCACACTGGGTTTGTGCTGGTTTGTCGTAATTATAAATATAGTATATTGTACTGCTTACATACAGTACATTGTACTGTATGTAAGCAGTAATAATATACTATATATTCATTGTATCTGATGTAAGCAGATATTATATTATTACTGCTTACATACATGTTACTGTATGTAAGCAGTAATAATATAATATATATTCATCGTATCTGACGGCCTACTCCCAGTTGGCTTGTTAGCTCAATTGGTAGAGCGCTGCACTAGTATCGCAGAGGTCAGTGGTTCGAATCCCGTACAGGCCTGATTTTTTTCAGGTCTGATTTTTTTCAGGTCTGATTTTCGCTATTGCATAAATAGCCTTCTCTACTGCGAGGATCGTCCATCATACATATTGTACTGCTTATAATTTATTTTCTATTAAAAAAAAAAAAAAAATCGCCTACACTTTTTTTTAGAGAAAAAAGGAAACAACTAAAAAATGTATCAGAAGCTGAGTTTAAGAAATAAAACTCACCACAACTTTACTTGCTTTTTGATCCTTCGATGTCGGCTCTTCCTATCATTGCCAACCTTGCACGCGAAGCAGAAGTTTCCAGAATTCTTCATGTTCTAAGCGCGCAAAACACAACTGTCAGCGAGCGCGGGGTTTACTCCATGTAAAAGTGAAGATGGAATGAAGAACGAAAGTATTCCACTTTTATTGTTGCAAAATTTTTCAGGACATGGTTTTTGCTTTGTAAACAAAATCGAGGTCTTAAACGGGAACGGAGAGCATGCCTTTGGAAGCACGAGACGCTTGATATGTATCAACGAAGCTGCTCATCGGATTGGAACGTATCGGTAATAAGTGCCACATTCTTGGAATTTGCGGTGACCGTCATTGAGGAAGAGTAACGCAACTTTGGTTCCGTGACAAGGCGATGTGAGGAATTGTCGCTGATGACTGTCACACTTTTGGAATTCGCCTTCACATCGCGATCGCCATGAACTTCTTAAACCTGTAGTCGACATTTGAAGACTCGTGTTGTAGAGTATTTTAAAGGATTGCTGTTTTGAGTATTTTTAGGTTTATCTTTTGTTTTGTTAAGTCTCACCTTTTTGCGCCTACGTGTTATTTTGGTAAATTTATAGTTTTCATCTTTTATTTTTAGGGTGTGCTTGAACTTGGCTCAGTTCGCAGATTTCTTTCTTACCGTGCTAGACATTTTAATCGCTTGTTGGGGTTGAGAATAATTAGTTTAATAAGTGGTCATGTTTGGGTTGGTAAAACTGCCCTTGAGTTTTACCTACACTGAAGATCCTGTTTGTGCGCGTGATTCTCGATCATTGGCATTTAATTGGTTCCTTGGTGCTCGCCAAGTGCTTTGGAGCGAGCCAGCCAATTTCCCACTTTGCAAAACAACGAATGCACTATGGCCACCTAACCCAAACATGTCTGTGATTTTGCATTTAATACGTGGGAACTCCCTGCTAAAACTAGAAGAAAAATAGCTGCACTAGCGGCAGCAGTAGAAGAAGAGATCTGAAACGTTGTAGCAGGAAAGAATAAAAATAGAGAAGAGTCCGGAGTCTCACTACTTCTCGTTAATAGCCAAGCGAGTGGTGAAACCCCCAACACTCGCGTTCTTTGGGAAAGTGGACATCCTAAATCTGACGAACATTCTGTGTTTGTTACTCTTGCCATGTCGGGGGCTTTAGAAAATAAACTACCGCTTGCAGTTCTTTTGGCGACAAGATTTTATCTTCTCCATCGCTAACAATAGTTGGTGTTTCTCAGTGTTAACAAAGCTACGCGACTTCATACTCGTCGACACTAACATTTGAAAACTCGTGTTGCTGTACGCGCGTACAATGGTGCAAAAACAACAGCATTGGTCGGAGTATTAAAGTTCGTTAAAACAGTCTAGGTATACTTCATAATGAACTGTGGCCAAAATCGTTAACGAAACTGAGATTTAAAGTTACTTTCTGAAGTGAATGCAATGACGTGACATTTCCGGTTTTCCTCGCTTATTACGTTGCCTGCTATTTCACCATTCCGTGTATGATCAACCGCCCTCTTGAGCGACAGGAACACCTCCAGAGGAATGTTCCGTAAAATTTCTGAATGATAAGGGTTCCTTATGCTAATCTTCATAGCAAGTCTGGTGTAAATTCTAGTGAGCCACAACCTGGATTCGTCCTTGAATATTGACCCGCAGCTTATGCCAACGTTCAGCATTACCTTTAAGGGATCTGAAGGTGGCTTGAAGCAATAATTAGACGCTTTTAAATATTTTCGCACGTTTCCTTTGAAAAATTCCAGATTAGATCCCAGTTCGAGTGCTTCGAACTCTTCCAAGCATACTTCAATCTGCTTTTCCAAGGCTATTGACTCGGCCGATTCGGCCGCCATCTTGGATATATTTTTGCAGATTTGCCGCTGCCCACATATTATATTACTGCGTGCGCGTGCATCATTTTGGGCCCTGTGTGCCCACCGTGCACAAAGAAACTCTGGGAGGTAGGATCCGTTACTCAGAGTATACACAATTCCTGATGCATATACTGAACAAACACGCTGCAGTTTCGCGTATTCCTCGCGTGCCTCCTTGATGTAGCCTTTATTTAGCTTAAAAGCACAAACCCAGAGTTTTCAACACTTGAACGAATTTCTGCTACTTGGAACCCTGATGAATTGATTTCTGTTGAAAATGTATTACTACAGACCACACCATTTGTTTTTGAAAACGCAACACGAAAACGTTTCTGGAATAATTAGATTGTTTTCAGCCAATTCCCTAAAGAGGAGTGCATTACCTTTATCCGTCAATAAAGATACAACAACTCCGAAAAATATCTGAGTTAAGTCCGATTTCGACTTCTCCGGAGTTTTTCTTTTACTTTACTATCCAACGGTGCTTCGTAGAGTATAAATAGGGCCCAAAACGAGAGAAGCGGTTGGACAGGTTTCCTCGCATCGGGTAGGCGACGAGTTGGATTGAAGTTAGGAAAAAAAAAAGGCGAACGATTTAAATTATTTTCCTGATGACGAAGAGTCGGAATGGCTGGCGAATATTGATCCAAGTTCATTAGATAAATCAGACGAAGAAAAGCAGTTCGACGACAAGTTTCATCATTTACTGAAGAAAATATGTCACGCATTTCCCGAAAATAAATATCCGCGAAATTCACCCTCACTGAAAAAACCATTTGGCGTGTTGGATTAAAAAATAACTCATTAAACATTTTGTTGTGTAGTATCCCTGAGTATTTTTACTCGCTATTTGTATTTTGACTCGACCTACGAGCTCCGCGTCAAAATACGGCAAAACTCGAAAAAATACTCCTCGATACTACACAACAAAACGTTTGATAACATATTTATCCAAATGTGCTTTGCGGAGTACAAACAACGCTCAAAACAAGTAAATTAAAATATCTCGCGGTATTTGTACTCCAGAGAACCAGTAAGACATTCCCCCGCACTGAAATAGCAATTTGGCATATTAGATAATAAATCTCTTATTAAACGTTTTGTTGCGTAGTATTGCTAAGTATTTTTACGAGTTGTGCCGTGTTTTTCTAAATACGGCACAATACTGGTTGGGCCTCCTAGTGTTTGGTCAGAAATGCATGGTTTCACTTTCCTACGAGTGTCCGCCGTATATTTTCAAAATATAGCACAACTCGTAAAAATACTCAGCGATACAACACAAAAAAACGTTTAATAAGATATATATTCAAGTGTCTGTTTGTCGGACAACGCTTTTCGAGGTAACTTAAAAACCCTTTTTAGAACTATAGGTTTGCGGAAAGGCCGGCGGTAAAAATCGTATATGTTTTGACGGTTGACAGATTGACCACATGTAGACCGTCTTGAGGCGGGGACGAAAGTTTTCAGTTCTATTTCAGAGGAGTAAGCATTTTTTTAAAAATAACAAGAAGAAAGAGCGGGTATATAATAGTGGTTATTGTTATTTGGATAATACAAGGATGCTCTGCAGTTATGCAAATTTCTAGTGTTGAGTAAGAAATGCATGGTTTCACTTTCCTTCGAGAATCATGGTCCGCTTCCTCAGCTACTGATGAGTCACAATTTGTAGTTAAACAGGTGAACAGAGAAAACATGTGATTTTGCAAACTCTGTGGGAAAATGGAAGTCGAGCGACCGCCACCAAGTCATTGGGAGGTTTTCATACTCGGTAAAAATCCCTGACAATATCAACTCACGATCTCTCGTCGTACCTGAAAACGTTTCTTTGGCGCCTCTTTCAAAGAAATTCATAGAATCTGACGCATTTCAAAAAAGGAAAAATTTGACCCAAGCCTTTCATTTTCCTGCTTCGGTTTCCCATGTAGTCGAGAAAATGATAGCGTGCAAGAACAAATCATTAAGAACCGTAAGTTTGCCACGAGTTGAAATTGCAGTTTTGCATTAAATAAACTTAAAATCTGAAACAATGCGCAACCGAAGTCCACAAGCCAAGTTATAAAGCGTTTTTCATTTCATCGAAACAGCGAAAATGCAACAGCATTGAAACGATGGATCATCTCAAGGAAACAATTGCCCCTAAAACCTTTAACAAAATTAGCTATGCCGCAGTTTTAATTTGGTTCATGATCAGCGCAGTCTTCTTTGGCATTTTTGCTGAAGTGGAGAACACTGAAGAAAGATTTGATTTCCGGTGTGGTGGAGCGAGGAGCGAATACACCGACCTCGTTCGTGGAAAATGTTTCGACGAGTACGAGAAACAGTACAACAATTACGGCGTTCCTATATATGGCTTCGTGATCATCAATTTCGGCCTCATTGGAATCGTATGTGCTCTGTACTCCCAATCAGTGAGACATACAGTCGATCATTTGTCGTCAAGTAATCGTAACGGAGATCCCGAGAGTGGACTGTCGGACGACCAAGGAAAGTCAAGAGGGCCAGACAGAAACCGCGGACACAAACTTTTCATCGCTTATTGTTGTCAACTATCCACAAGACTTGTTTTAGGAATTCTCTTCATAGTCCTACAAACTCAGTGGCTTTATCCTTTACACTTTTCCTCAAAGTTTGACTGTAATTTTAACTATGAAACCAATCAGCCAAGGAATTCATCTAACGCCACCCCAAACAATACTCACGAATGTTACAATCGACGAGCGGAAAGGAAAACCTTCTGGATGTACGCTGTCCTTATAGTGAATGGAACTTTTGTCGCTGGCATTCTGATTGAAACCGTCTACATTTTGTTACGAGCATGCAAAGAGAGGAGATTCGTGCAAGACTCAGAGTTTCTAAAAACCCATCTAAAACCCACCGATGACAAGTCGCTTCTGGAACCTCAACTTATTCAACTTCTGCTAAGAGAGCGTGAACACCGTCCTACCCAAGTCAGGTTGTGCTCAGAGCCTCCACAAGATCCTGTTGTCCTACTTCAGCCACGAGACCAAATCGAGTCGCATCGAGAACCACAACGGCTTGATGGAAGGAGCGGAAATGAGAACTCTGAACAGCTTCAGACATTCATCGCGGAAACAAAGAAAACTATTAAGAGAGACACCCATTCTCTCGCCGCACTCCGATCACCGTTTTCAGGTCCTCCTGGGGAACAAACAGCTGCCAAAGATTTGACTCTGGATCACATTTACACGAACCTCGTGGTCATTCCCGACAGGGCTATGTACCACTTTACTACAGACAGACAAGAGCAACTCAAAGTTTATCCAAAGTCGCGCAACGAAGAATCACAACTGAAAAGCCAGAAAGACCTCTTAAATGATGAAAATAAGAAAGTCCTTGTTGTTGGTCGTCCTGGAATCGGCAAGACATTATGTTGCACCAAAATTCTTAGAGACTGGGCATTTAATAGAGCTTTCAACGCAACATCCGGTGCCAAAATCCATTTTGATGCTGCTTTCATGGTGAAATTCAGGAGATTCGACTCGGTTAA